AAAATATGTTGAATATATATATTTATATTATATATAGATATAGATGTTATACGGACACGGTAGAAATTTTGACTCTGTTTATTGCATACAGAACTGTTTCGTGTGGAGCGAAAGCTCCACACTCATCAGTGCCTAATACAGAGTGATCTATTTAGAACATCCCGAGCAGTATAAAAACATCATGCATAATGTCATCTATTGTTCATGCGTGAGCGTTCTGAAGAAATACCAGTTTTGCTAAAGACTGCCTTGCTAAAAACTGCCTTGCTAAAGACATAATATACCGAGCAACAGTGACAAGCGAAAATAAAACAGAAACATACGTCGGACTAACAGCTACCTCTTTCAAGACAAGACTAGCGAACCATAAGGCATCCTTCACTACGGAATCAAAACGGAACTCGACAGAACTTAGTAAACATATTTGGAACTTGAAAGACAACAACCTAGACTACGCGATTAAATGGAAGATACTGAGCAAAGCGCCACACTACTCGAACACTACGAAAAAATGCAACCTATGCTTAACAGAGAAGTTCTACATATTGTGCAAACCTGAGACCGCGACACTGAACAAGAGAAACGAACTTGTTAGACATAAAGATAAATTTTTATTAAGGAACGTTATGCAATGAATTCTTGCAATGAATTCAGTTTAGCGCCAGCGCGCAGCAGTCACCGACAATGACGCGTTAATTAGTATCTATGGTATTTCTTTAGAACGCTCACGCATGAACAATAGATGACATTATGCATGATGTTTTTATACTGCTCGGGATGTTCTAAATAGTCTTCTTGAACCCCGTCAGCTAATTCTCTACGATGCCGTTTCAATAACAAAATTATGGCGATTGAACACAAAATGTACTCACTTCCAATGTAACACTTTTATATATAGCTTTGCAACACCCAATGTCATCGTAAGCACGTCTTGCATTGCACAAACTCGCAGAAAAATATATATAGGATAGGAGTTTATGCACAGTAGATTATTACGTGGAAATATAGTCGATATTATAGTGCATCGATTACACAGACGTTAGTAGTAAATACAATTTGTATTTATATTAGCTTGGCTCTACGAGTGTGGGGAATAAAGGTTTGTGGCGGAGCAGAGATGGGCGAAGCGAAGAGCTACACTCGACCGTAGAGCTAATATTCACTATCGTTCTATTATTGCACGGGACTGTATTTGTGGGTGCACCGGACTGTGCTCCCCATCTTATATTAAATCAAATTAAATATTGTTATGCATTTCCCCCTAACATGTATCATATCAGCTCTATATACTATATAATATAATATATGTATAATATTATTTGTGCCGATGAACCATACCGAGGCGGTCTAATCAAGCGTGCAAAAATATGCCCTCAAGCGAATCGATAGACGGGTACCCGGTCGACACCGTCAAGCCTACGCTATTATAGATATCTATGTACGCTACACTGTTAAGGTGTGATTGGGTACCAGTCTAGCGAATGGAAGGTGTTTACCATCAGGGCGGCGCATTGTACTATTTATAAGCAAGCGCGACGAGCGGAGCGTCACAATCGTTTCGATACCTGTTCAACTAGCGACTAGACCAAGCGACTGCATACGTTCTCTTGATTCCATTCGGCAAGACCGCATTCGGAGACCGTTTTCTCGAAGTATTTTTAGAGTGAAGCGTCTTCAGCGTAGACAGGACAACTATATTATAATAGTTGAACTAAGGTAGGCCTATGTGGTTATATTATTATAGGATACGCCGCTACTACTCTTACGCAAAGTATCTTACGGAAGACGCTTTTTTACTAAGGGTTATATTTTTTTATAGGTATCACGTACGACGTTTCCGTTTTTCTCTTAGTGTGGAAATTCCGTACGAGTAGCCGCGGCCTATTATATATATATACGTTTCATTTCATGTGTACAGTGCCGTTATCGTTACT